CAGCCAATAGTGTCAGCTGATCGTTCTTCAGCCAATAAACATTTGGTTGCACTGAATCATTCCTTGGCCTTCAAAAATACAATAACCATTGTCTCAGATGGGGGCTATTGCTTAGTGGTAGAGCACATGTAAGCACTTGCCTAGCACATATAATATCCTTAGACCCAACACCAAAAAAGCAATAAAAAATAGTATTTGCTTATACCATTTCCATGAAATAGCTGCTTGGAACAAATGCCTTTTAACCTTTAGTTTAGAAAAAGTATGTCATGCTAGAAACGGTCTTGTTTCCACTAATCAAGTGAGATTCTAGTTTCTGTTAATAAGAGAAACAAAACAAGCAAACAAAAAGAACCTCACTCATATGGCCATGTGAATTGAATTTGTGAGATTTATAAGATTTTTCCTTCTGTGATCATAACTTTCATTTCAATCTAAAATCTTCCTTGTATACATAAAATGTGGTAGGTACTATAAATCATGCTACAAAACATTTGGGAGAGATGACTAGAAGCTTTAACAATGAATAAATTAATAATTCTTTTTGTTAAAATGACAATAAATAGAAGTTTCGATCTAAGAAAGAGAAGCACTGTGAATATTTGGAGAAGAGTGAGCTCTTTGGAGTAACATTTGTAGTCAGACCTGCTGATAAAACATAGACTGTATGTGGGATAATTTTGACCACTCTGCCATGGAGAGATATGATTGGTTTGCATACTAATGTATTCCCAAGGATAAGTAACTCCTCCCCTTCTTCTCCCACTAAGGCTTCTTAGAAAGCTCAGATTCAATGTCAAGCAAATCTCTGAAAGTTGGCACTCAAATCACTGCTTTGAGAAAAGCTCTATGCCCCTTGCTGGGTGGGTGGACAAAGTCAGAGATTCAGCCAGGTCCTGAGGTTTCCAGCTGTGCAGTTTGAGTCCTGTGTGGATGAAGCTGCGACTTCCATATTCCTATTTCTTCATCTATAAAAAGTGGCAAGAAAAGTCTGAGGTGAGGAAATCACCATATTCACATTCAAACTATTGATGAGACTGTTACAATGGAAACCACAACATACTAAGCCCTCCATCGAGCAGATGCTATAATGTCATGACATTTGTCACTGATGATCTCCTGTGTTCCATCTGATACAGAGAGCTGATGTAGTCTTTAGCAGGCAAAATCAATTTCATTAGCATTCACTACTTGGCATGTTTTATTACCTGTGTGCAGCTCCTTTAAAACAAAACATGAGAGGCACTTAAAGGAAAATCGAAACATACAGGGTGCAGTGCTTCTTTAAGAGTGCATCATTTTAATTTTAAAAGAACTCCAACTTTACTTTTAGTATTATCTTTCCTCAAGAATGTATAGAAACAAAACCTTGTTTGGATTATACCCTCAGTAGAATAACAATAAGAGAAGTTTTTTTCTTGCCCCAGTCTTGTGAAAAATAAACACCTACATGACCTTGAACAAACATGACTGGTTGTTTTGTTGTTTCCAGACAGGGTTTTTCTGTGTAACAGTCCTGCCTGTCCTGGAACTCTATTTGTAGATCAGGCTGGCCTCCAAATCAATTTGATCCATCTGCCTCTGCTCCCAAGTGCTGGGATTAAAGGAATGTGCCACCACTGTCCAGCCTGATCTTTTTTTTTTTAAATCCTTTTTACTGTTTTTAAGTTATATGTGTCAGCAGGGGTTGATGGTGGTCAGAGGTCATACTTCTGGAGCTAGAGCTACAGGTGGTTGTAAGCCATCCCTCACTGATGATGGGAATTGAACTCAGACCTTCTGCAAGAGCAGTGCATACTCTTATCCACCACACCATTTTTCTAGCTCTAACACGGCTGATTTATAGGGAAGAATATTATATGAGCAGTGTGTGTGCTTTTATTTATGAGACTGTGCAGTAATATTGAGAACAATTATAACATTAAGTTCAAAATGCTTCAGTTGATTTCTTTTCATTGTTAATAATTTAGAAAAGTATCCCCATCATAACAACTCAGCAAATAGAAAGGGTAGAAATATGTACTCTTACCATTTCAATTGCCACAAAATTCCCAGGCTCTACTACAATTCCCAGAAAAATCTACCAAATGTTAACAAAGGTTGTTTTATTTATTGAGATCAAAAATTTTAGCCATTTTGTGAGTTTTCTCATATCTATCATTTTATAATCAGAAAAAAATCTTTCTAAAAATAATAAATTATTTTTAAAAAGAAATTATTATGTGACCCCATGGGGAAAATTTTATTCCTAAGAATGCTCAGATGATCTTACACTCTGCCAGTATTTCAGAATCAAGGATCATTAAATCCTACTCCTTCCAAAGACTAATTTCCAGGTATTAATTTTCTCTGCTCATTATTGCAGTCAAGCAACTGGCCTTGGAGGTTGGTGGTAAAGGAATGATTGTCCTTGCCACAGACCAGGAAGCCATCACTCAAGTGGAAGAGACAATAGTGGGATGCAGTGATGCAGCTGGGAAATACTTTATTGATGGAGACACGAAATAACTTCCTAAATGACCAGAAGTCATGCCTAGCAAATATATCAGCAAATCTCTGTGGCTTTATTACCCAACCCTCTTCCTGTAGGAAACCACCTCCTCCCACATAGGACTTATGAGCAATCATTGTCAATTTAGTAGTGGCCAGGGCTGCACACATAACTCCTTGGAGCTTACCAGTGTCTGAAAAACACTCACAGCACTCTTTCCCAGTGATATTAGAAACCATTTCTTTCTTTGTCCTATCTTTTAAAATATCTCTTCATTTGGAATCACATGTTGTGGTGTACAACCATACTCCTAGCACTCAGAATCTGATGTAGGAAAACTCCAGGTCTGTGGGTAATCCAGACTACATAGTAAAACACTGTTTCAGAAAAGAAAAAGTATAACTTGAAGCTTGACTCAAAGCTGAGTTTTAGAGTAAGATGAATCTGAGCCACATTCAGAGTACTGACATTACTTAGCCTTTATGAGCTTTGATTATTTGTTTCCAATGAGGTAATATTAAAATCTCTAGTACATAATTATGACTCCCAATAAATGTGAATTCCCTTTTTGTTAGTAACATATGTCAATATAACCAATATAAAGAAATGCAGTCTGAAAAAAATCATTACCATGTCATTACTATAGAAAAATGTGTGTGTGTGTGTGTGTGTGTGTGAGAGAGAGAGAGAGAGAGAGAGAGAGAGAGAGAGAGAGAGAGAGAGAGAGTGTGTAAAATCACAGCAGTTTCTAGGGAACTTTCATGGAGAATAACCTCTAACTCTGCAGTTGCTAAACTTAAATCATTCTAATTTCTAAAAATTTATCTCTTTATGAAAGAGGCACTGATTATAGCCTTAGCATTGAACTCCTCTCTGCTCAAATAAGTTGCTGATTGTAAAGTTAGATATCATACTGAAGCCAGCTCTCTCATATCAACCCAAATTACAAGAAAACAGAAAGGATAAAACTTACAGCCTTTATATCACATACTATTAAATTTGGCTGAAGACAAAATCACATTTTTTACAGAAAAAAAAAGAAAAACAGTTCTTCATCTTGGACTAAGTAAAAGGGACTAACAAAGGTTAGTGGACTTTGCCTATAAGCTCAATCATGGCATGGAGATGGAGAGAAGGATACTAGTTTCATGTCAACCTGGGCTACATAGTTGTCTTAGTGTTCTATTGCTATGAAGAGACACCATGACAAAGGCAACTCTTACAAAGGGAAACATTCAGCTGGGGCTTCCTTACAGTTTTAGAAGGTTAGTCCATGATCATCGTGGCAGGAAGCAGACAGATTTGGCACTAGAGCAACAACTGAGGGCTTTACATCCTGATCTTCAAGCAGAAGGCAGAGAGACTGGACTTGGCATGGACTTCTGAAATCTCAAAGCCTACCCACAGTGGCACACCTCCTTCAACAATACCACACCTCCTACTCCTTCTCAAACAGTTCATCAACCGGGGCCAAAGCATTAAAATATACGACCCTATGGAGACTATTCTCATTCAAACCATCACCACAATGTATTAACCACTTTGTTTTGCACCCTAGTCATCATTATATAGATAATAGCAAGAGGCAACACATGAATCAAATGAATGAAACCATAAGTAAATTATTTTGCACAGGAAAGTTTCATGCCAGATATTATTTTGCGTTACTGAAGGTGAGAACACAAAGAGAAAGAGGCTGGGAGTGAAAGATGGGATGAAATGCAGATTCTTGTTTCCAGCCAGAAGCTCTTATTGATGGAGAAATAAAAGGAGCTTGGGATAAGGATAACCTTTATTAGAAAAACACCAGCCAAACACAAGCCAGAGTGTGCCAGGAGCAACAAGGCAAGGAAGCCAGACAGAAGGGGCTCCCATGTGCCTTGCAGTACCTTAAAACCCCATTACGCATCATCCTGACCTCACCTTGACCACGCCCTGACAGGTGTGGTCAGGCATACCTGTAGCCAGCTTCAAGCAGGCATGGCTTGCACTGTCCCCTACAATTCCCCTTTTAGTCTAAAAGAGGATTAAAACTTAACAGTGTAAAGTATCCAAAATTAACAATCAGAAAGGTGAAATACAAGAAGATACAATAATCTGCTATGACATATCCTAATTATGTCTACATCAGCTAAATCCTAAAGTCATCTGAAAAGAGGTGTCCAAGCCAAAACACCTCCTTACAATCCCAACTATAAACAATGGTAAGCTATCCCTAACTAGGCTTACACTACCCTAGTAGACAATAATGGGGGTCGGGGCGTAGCATCCTCCAAGTTACTTCCTGCTGAAATGGGACAACAGTAGCCTCATGGGGTCCTGTGAGAAGAAAATGTTAGTAGGGTGAATGGATTATATCTATAATGGATTATATCCAGTCCATGTTAGATAGGATTTGCTTGATTGAAGATCTAGATTGAAATACTCAAGTTGATTGAAGTCAGTACTCGAAGCTCTGGTCGGAGTGTCAGTTGAAATGGGGTAAGTTGTATCCAGTGTAGTCTAGGAGGTATGGCCCAATTTCCTTCCAGAGTGTCCAGGGATTGCTGTCAGGCAGGACTTCATTGACTGTGTGGGATTCAAACATAAGTGTTAGCAAAGAAATGTTTGCTTGTATATGTATATGCATGCTGGAAAAGGCAACTATGGAACAATAATGATTAGGAGATGGTATACACCTTGAAGGAGAGAGCCAAGAAAGACAATGACAGTCCCCAAATTCTTCTCTCATTCTGTATTACATCAATTGGCTTCTTGATACAAAACAGAAACTCTAAAGTTTAGTTAAACAACGTGATTGGATTTTTGAGGAGGAAAGCCAAATCCAACTCTAAATCTAGCGTTGATTTACTTGAATAGGGAACTAGAAAAATAAAGAGAAATACTTATTTGAGAGACAGCTACAAAGTTTACCGTATGGCACGTTCCTTTTGTCTGATGGTTTTAGCTACCTTCTCTTCTTAAGCATTTACCCATATAGTGTTCTTGGACTTCTGTAGATGAGTTTTCCTGTGTAGATAGAAGCAAAACACTTCCCTTTCCTTTGGGAGGTTTCTATTTAGTTTATGAGATGTATCTCAGTAAATAACTGTCACTTATCATTGTCCAGAGGTTTGTCTTTTTCATGTTGAATCTTGATCAACTTTGATGGTATCCAAAGTTTTTCTTCTTCTGTGGAAACAAATGCAAAACCCCTACCCAATGTAACACATGTCCAGGCTTCCATACCGAGGTTAGTACGTCTTTGAAGTATACTGGTTGATTCAGTTCAGCAGTTTTTTCTGTAGTCCAGTGTCTTTTTGCAGCTGTTTGTTCTTTTTCATTGGCATTAAGAAAGTTTAGTGCCAATAAAGCATTATGCAATCTATGTTTGGGGGTTTTGTCTTCCCAGGCTGTCTATGGAGCATCTCCTTAAGTGTTCTATTAGATCTCTCAACCACTGCTTGTCCTGTAGGATTGTGTGGTATACCGGTGACATGCTTTATGTTATAATATTTGAAAAATTGTTCCATTTTTGTGGAGACATATGCTGGAGCATTGTCAGTTTTTATCTGTGCAGGTATACCCATAGCTGCCATCACCTGTAGCAGGTGTGTAATAACAGAATCAGCTTTTTCAGAGTTGAGAGCAGTAGCCCATTGGAACCCTGAGTCTATAGAATGTGTCTATAGAACGATGCACATATTTCTAATTTCCAAATTCTGTAAAGTGAAAGACATCCATCTGCCAGACCTCATTTCTCCGAATGCCTTTAGGATTACAGCCTGCTAGCAGTGGAGTTTGGTTATAAAAAGAACAACTAGGACAGTTGCTCACTATCTTCTCAGCTTGTTGCCAAGTGATGGAGAAATCCTTTTTTAAACCTTTGCTATTTACATGATGTTTCTTATGAAATTCTAAGGCTTCTAGCACACTTCCAATTAATAAACAATCTCATCATTGCCTTGTGCTAGTGGGCCTGGCAGACACGTATGGGATCTGATATGTGTGATATATAGAGGATTGCTTCTGTTTCGGATTGTTTCCTGTAATTGTAGAAACAGTGAAGTTAATTCTGTATTATCAGGAACAAATTCAGCAGTCTCAATGTGTAACATGACTCTCTCTGCATATTGAGAATCAGTAACTATATTAAAAGGTTCTGTGAAACCCATAAGCACCATGAGAATTGCATATAATTCTGCCTTCTGTACAGATGTATACGGATTTTGAACTACTCTACTTACCTCACCAGCTTTATAAACAGCCTTACCTGATTTGTTGGCATCAGTGTAGAAGGTAAGAACTCCAGAAATGGGAGTTTGTCTTACAATACGTGGAAGAATCCAGACTGTCTTTTTTATGAATTTAATTCTGTCGGTTTTGGGATAGTTGCTGATAATCATTCCCAAAAAGTCAGTAAGAGCTATTTGCCAATATTCATTATCCTTCCATAAGGAGGAAATTTCTTCATTAGTTAAAGGTACTATAATTTCTTCTGGATCTTTTCCAGTCAGTTGACGAAGTCTTAATTTGCCCTTTAAAATCAAATCAGAAATCTTTTCTATATATGTCTTTAACTTTTTATTCTGTTTATGTGGCAGAAATATCCACTCCAATATGGTATCCAAAATGCATCAGAATTCCAGAAGGATAATCTCTGGATGGCAAGATAACCAGAATACAGTCTAAATCAAGGTTCATCCGTTCTACATGCACATCCAATATTCTGTTTTCTACCCATTGTAATTCTTATTCTGCCTCAGCGGATAATATTTGTGGACTGTTTAGGTCCTTGTCACCTTTAAGAGCTATTTTTAAGTGTTTTAAGTCATGTCCTGTAATTGAAAAATTTCCCCCAGCAGATTCTGAACACTATTAAGAGTTTGATAATGATCCCTTCTAATTTGTACCTTCTGTGGCCAGATTCTTTTTTACTCTATTTTATAACCTAAATAGTTAATAGAATCTCCTCTTTGTATCTTTTCTGGGGCAATCTGTAACCCCCATCTAGGCAGAACTTCCTTCACCATGTCAAATATATGTTCCAATGTTTCCTTATTGGAATCTGATAAAAGAATATCATCCATGTAATGATAAACAAAGGATTGTGAAAATTTTTTACGAATTATTTCCAAAGGTTGCTGTACAAAGTGTTGACATAAAGTAGGACTATTTAGCATCCCTTGTGGCAAAACCCTCACTGATATCTTCGAACTGGCTGTGAGTTATTAAGAGTCGGTACAGTAAATGCAAATTTCTCTCTTTCACTTTCTTTTAATGGTATATAGTGAAAAAGACAGTCTTTCAGGTCAATTACTATGATCGGCCATCCTTTAGGTATTAAGGAAGGCAATGGCATTCCAGGCTGTATAGAGCACATAAGCTGAATTACCTTATTTATGGCTCTCAGGTCTATCGACATTCTCCAGTTACCTGACTTCTTTTTTATAACAAATACAGGAGAATTCCAAGGGCTGGTAGACTCCTCTATGTGTCCAGCCTCTAACTGTTCCTGTACTAATTTTTCTAGAGCTTCTAGCTTCTCAGAGGTCAAAGGCCATTATCCTACCCAGACAGGTTCATCTGAAATCCTTTTAATGGCAGGGCCTTTGGCTCCTCTGAAGGCCAATCATTGGTATTTAGTTTCTGTACAGCCTGGATGGTTGGTAACTGTTTCCCACAGCATCTTACCAGGTCTTTTCTACTATCTAAAGTTTGTGCATAATTTGTATCTGACACTGGAGGGATGTTAATTTGAGTTTTCCATTGCTGTAAGAGATCACGACCCCAGAGATTTATAGCTATATTTGCCACGTATGGTTTTAGTCTCCCTTTCTGTCCTTCTGGTCCAACGAAGACCACTGATTAAACAGTGTTGAACTCTAGATAGAGTTCCGATTCCCAAAAATTGTACATTTCCCTCCCTAAGTGGCCACTCCTGCAGCCAGGACTTTTGTGTAATAATAGTGATGTCAGCGCCCATGTCTAAAATGTCATTAATAATTTTATTATTGATTTTTACTTTTAAATGAGGCCTTTTATCTTTGATGGAAGTCTGCCAAAATATGCACTTTTTGTCTTATCCAGTCTTATCTGTCTTGTCTTCATCGCTAGTCAAACTATCATCTATAGCAGTGTCATCTTTCACAATAGACAAAGAACTATCTATTCGTCCTGTGAGAGATTGTCTTCCACTGCTACTGGAAATGACTGGACCTTTTTCAATGTGGGGGACTTCTTGAGTCCCCCTTCAGAGTTTCCCAGCCTTAATGGGTTCCCTTGCATGTTCCTGATCAATCTACATTCATTAGTCCAGTGACTGCCCTTACCACATCTCCTACACAGTCCAGAAGGCAGTGGCCTTTCACATGAGTGATTGTTAGAATTTCTTTACCTACATTTTCTCCTTACATGTCCCATTCTACCACAGCTAAAACATCTAGGTTCCTGACATCTTCGTGGTCTCCTAGAGAGTGGGCTCTTCCTACCCGAGGTTCTGGTTCATAGTAGTGATGATCCTGGCCACTTGGTACCTATATTGATGCCTGTAAGGTGTTTCTCCTTCCCAAGCCCTCCCGTCATCACCTCTGGAACTCTTAATTTCCTGCTGCCTTTTGAAACCTCTTGGGATAGCTTCCCCTGGCCAGACTCCAGCATCTTGTACACTATAGTCAGTGTGGGCTGCATGCAAAACCCATTCTTCTAGCCAAGCTGATCTGATCTTTAAAGGCAAAAGTATTCTTTTGCATATTGGGTTTGCATTGTCATAAGCTATTGTATATATAATTGAATGTCTTACTGCCCGATCTGTTACTTGTAATTCTACTGCCCTGGTCAACTGGTCTAAGAAGTCCTGGAATAGTTCTGTTGGTCCCTGTTCTATTCTGATATAAGCTTCCAATTGTTCTCCTGGCTCATGAACCTTATCCCAGGTGTTTAGTGCTGCTTTCCTGCATAGGGACAGTATATGGTCATCATATTCAGCCTGAAACTGTGGGTCAGCATAAATACCCTCACCCAGAATCTTATCCAGGGGAGCATCATAACAGTCTTTAATGACCTGACGCTCAAGAAGTTTCTCTACTTATCAATGCCTTCCATTGGATTTGACAAGAATTCTCAAGTACAGCTGATACCAATCCTACACAATCTGTGGGTGTCACCCTGCTAAAGGTTGCCCATGAGTGTATTAGCTGTTTTATGTATGGGCTATGAAGACTATATGAGACAACTGATTCCTTAATATGCTTAAGATCCTTCAGCTGTATAGGTTGCCATACATAAGCCACCTGTCCCTGGGGGTGTTTTTAGTTGGTGGCTTTTCTACCTCTGTTGCTGGGGAGACCAATGGTGTATGGGTAACAACTTTAGAATGATCAAGATACTTGAGTGGAGTAGGTGCCTCAGATTGGAGTGATTCTGTCTCCGAGTCATCCCAACAATCCTTGAGTGTAATGATATCCTCATGAAAAGTTTCCATCTCCTTAATCATAAAAGATTCTAGGCATGATAGTGAATCCGTAAATTACTGTAACTGCTCTTCCACCCGATTTTCTAGGTGTTTGATACATTCGTCTCTAGCTAGC